GGGGTCATTCATGGACAACTAAACAGGAGAGGCTCAAGATGAGCAAGTACCGCTATCAATGGGTGGTAGCGGAAAAAGCAGGAGAGCAGACTCAGTCACTGTCCCAGAGGCCTGAAGACACAACGGGATAGGAAGGCTGCCGGCCTGCAGCTAAGGGGATGCGAGCGCGGTGCTGGTCGGTAGCTCTATGATTAGCACCCCACACAGTCTTCTACACTAGAGCTCGCCTGTGTCTTGAGTGGTTGTGAGAAAAATGTCTGTGCCTGTTTGGTGCTATTCTGCTATCTGAAAGAACCATCTGCGACTATGGGGGCTGTCTATGCCCATACCCATCCTCCTGAATGAACAGTAGTCTTGACTTTGGGTTCTCCGTGGTTGTGAGCTCGTGGGTGTTGGCTGCTCTATGACTCCATGCCCAGGATCCCTAGTTGGAGGGGCCATGGCTCCTGACATTTCTCTTGCCGGCCAGTTTTCCAGGGTCCTGAGCAGTCTCTGGATCCTTTAGTTTAAGGTTAGCTTGGTTGCCTGATATCCAGAGCTCGTTCCAAAGCTTTCTGTCTGAGCTGCAAGAATCTTGGAGGCTTGCCCCATGGGAATTCATGTGACTACCTCTATGCCTGCTCACTGTCCACCCTGAGTAAGGCCTGCTCTGAAAACTGTGTCCAATTCTATCAGTGCTTCTGAGATCTGGTCCTATTTCCTGTTCCAGGAGTGGAACAGCTTCTGCAAATGCTCAGTCTTGGCATTCTTTATTTCTCTTTATTGCTGGAGCTGCAATGGGCCAGCATTTGTCTCATGGGTCTCTGACAGCACCTCAGCTTTCTATCCCCACAGCTCCATCCTGCCCTGTCCTCACCTCCACCCAGTGTTTCTGGTCACACCACGAGGCCTTCCTGACTCAATCTGCATGGGGCGCTGAACAATCTCCTCCCTCTCCAACCCCCTAAGCTGTGTCCTTCACAACTGCAGTTGTGGCCCTGGCGGGTTTTGTTCTTTATCTGCTGAGAGATTCTCTTCCCACTAAGTGCTTCCAGGACCTTTCCCTGACCTCCTTTGCCCTCAGTTTTTCTATGTTCAAATTAAGTTGGCTTCCCACCCCTATATTCAAATTGAGCCAGCTTCCTAGGGGCTGCTCTAGTCTGTAGCCAGGAAAGGCCTTGATGTCATTATCAACATGTGGAGGGGCAGATGTGGGGGCAGATGTGACTTCCTCCTTGTACATGTGGGGGTGGGTGGGGTGGAGCTGGGCACAGGGAGCCTTGGAGATCTCACCGAGTCATAGCAGCAGCCAAACCATTACACTCACGCCTCCAGCAAGGCAGCACAGCCCCTTTGTACTCTTGCTTCCAGACCAAGGAGCAGGCCCTGGCTATAGTCACCCCTACAGGGTAGCACACAGCCCTGGCTGTCCTGCCTTTCCCCATGGTAAACGTTTATGATAAAAGCAGGGCAGAGCAGAGCAAACACCTGCTTTGGCACCTCTGATCCAAGGGAATATATATATATTCTTGCCATGATTGAAGACGGGGTGATGCTGATGGTGGCTGGAGAAACCAATGCATGCCCTTCCTAGAATATAGAACCTAAGCCCAGCAGCACAGCAAAGAACCCCATTCTGAACCCAGCTACTCTCCCCATGGGCAATGTAGACTTCCTACATCTTAAGCATCTACCCTCAGACTTCCAGTCCCTGTTCCCTCTTCATTATGCCCCCAAACACAAGTGCACAGGTCTTCCCAGTGTGAGACCTGGCAGGAGAATGAACTCCTTTCCCTGATGCTCACAGGACACAGGGGTGTTGTCCATCTTCCAGCTGAGGTGACTGGCTGCTCCCTCTCCTCCCCTCAGCTGACACGTGGCCCTTCCCATTGGCCTGTTGATCTTTTGCAGGTGCGGAAGGATGAGGGGAGAGAACGTGACCAAGGTCAGCACGTTCATCCTGCTGGGCTTCCCCACGGCCCCCAGGCTGCAGTATCTGCTCTTCCTCCTCTTCCTGCTCGCCTACCTCTTTGTGCTGGTGGAGAACCTGGCCATCATCCTCACTGTGTGGAGCAGCGCCTCTCTCCACAGGCCCATGTACTACTTCCTGGGCATCATGTCCACCTTGGAGATCTGGTATGTCTGTGACATCATCCCCAAGATGCTGGACGGCTTCCTCCTGCAGAGGAAACGCATCTCTTTTGCTGGATGCATGACCCAGCTCTATTTCTTCATCTCCCTGGTGTGCACGGAGTGTGTTCTCCTGGCTTCCATGGCCTATGACCGCTACGTGGCCATCTGCCATCCCCTACG